GGGGCTAAGAATTAATTAAGATGTGGGTGACTTAAACTTAAAATTCTGGATTAAATTGTTGGTACTATGCAGTCACACAATAATATTAACTGTATAATAAACTAAGACAAATCCACCTATCCAAGCCCCACTAGAAAAACAGGCCATGCTGCAGCACGGGCAGCGCAACACTACGTCACAGTGCCATTAAAATCTTACAAACAGCCAGCTTGCTTATTTACCTAAAACATTAAGGAATGGCAATGGCAATGAATTTATCAATGAGAATCTATCCACTAGTGTGACGTCATGGATCCTGCAGCATAGCCTGTTTTTCTAGTGGGGCCTTGGTCGGGAGCAGACTTTTAACTTGTTTTTGTTATTGTTTTCTAGTTTTTGACTCATGAATAAGTTCAGTTCTATTTTATTAAACCAATTTACCTAACAATTTATGCATTTACTTCCAACATAAAACTGACGAGGATGATTTTATGGAAAGAGTGCAAGTAGTATTCAATTCCACAGTCAAATCCTTATATACAGTGTGTAAATTAAGTATGGAAACAAATCTGTATTTTTAAAACCGAAATAGATAGAAATATTCTATTTGTGGCAATAATAGTTAACAAAGATTCCGCAATTTTTCACATGAAAAATATTTTTTTACCCCCCTAACAGGGTAGGTGGTAGGGGGTGACTTATTTTTTTCAAATAGCAACCCCTATTGAGTGACCCCTCATTTTGAAGGGTTTGTCAAAAGAAACACAATGACGCAAATCCGAGGTGAATATCTCACTCCTAGCCCAAATGGCGGATATTCCAAAATTTGATTTATTGTACGTGAAAAGCACCAATTTCACAAATAATGGAAAGAAATCTGTATTTTTAAAACCGAAAAAGATAGAAATATTCTGTTTGTGGAATTGATTGTTGACATAGGTTCCGCAATTTTTTTAATTAACAATATTTTTTCAACCCCTTTAACAGGGTAGGGGGTGGGAGTGACTTATTTTTTTCAACAACAACCCCTATTGAGTGACCCCTCATTTTGAAGGGTTTGTTAAAAGAAAAAGAATGACGCAAACCCGAGGTAGATATTTCACCCCTAGCCTAAATGGTGGGTAATGAAAAATTTAATTTTTGTAAAAAAAAGCCCATTTTGGAATATCCGCCATGTTAGCTAGGAGTGAGATATTCACCTCGGATTTGCGTCATTGTGTTTCTTTTGACAAACCCTTCAAAATGAGGGGTCACTCAATAGGGGTTGCTATTTGAAAAAAATAAGTCACCCCCTACCACCTACCCTGTTAGGGGGGTAAAAAAATATTTTTCATGTGAAAAATTGCGGAATCTTTGTTAACTATTATTGCCACAAATAGAATATTTCTATCTATTTCGGTTTTAAAAATACAGATTTGTTTCCATACTTAATTTACACACTGTATAATACGTGAAGGCAATTTGTACAAAACATTACTCCTACGTTAATAATGGACCAGGGTGTCTACCAGATTTCTTATGGAATTCCCGACTTTTCATTACCATTTTTATTTAAATCCCGACCAAAAACTCGGTCCATTCTCCATGATACTACACCTTTTTCCGTCACGGTACCTTCGTCAACATATGTTGTCACTCGAATTGTGCAGCGAATTCACTGACGATCGAAACGAATCACATGTCGAGAAAATCCCATTTAAATGATGGGGTTTGTGAAGCAGCAACAAATTTTAATGTAAATCGATTCAAAGCAACACGGCATTTTTCTATTCATACTTGTCAATGGAATGAAATATTTGTTTTCAATCATGCATTAGAATAAACAGTATTTCTGGAAATATCAGTGAGCTTCTTGCCAATTTCATAATTTTTACTTGCAGCATCATGTTGTTCAGCTTGTTACTTATTTTATTTTATTGATTTTATAAATATAAAGATATGTTTTGGTGAAACAAACAAAAACCTTTGCAAGATTTATACTGAATCTTTCAATTGGTTTACATTGATAAAATAAGAGGATAGAATCAGACCTACAAGGTACAGTATACATAATTTCTTGTATGGCTAAGCAATGGCTCAGTGATTGCCATGTACTTGGATGGCAATAACCTCCATGGCGAAGCAATGTCTCAGTGTATGCCATGTACTTGGATGGCAATAACCTCTATGGCAAAGCAATGTCTCAGTGTATGCCATGTACTTGGATGGCAATAACCTCTATGGGGAAGCAATGTCTCAGTGCATGCCATGTACTTGGATGGCAATAACCTCTATGGCGAAGCAATGTCTCAGTGTATGCCATGTACTTGGATGGTAATAACTTGTATGGCTAAGCAATGTCTCAGTGAATAGCTTATATAAATTAATGTCAATAATTTCAATAGTGTCAATAAGTTATATGGATACTGATAGTCAAAGTAACAGTATCAATGCAACAGTCAACTACTGATTCAATAACGTATGGACAATGATTCAAAAACGTATTTGGATGAATATTCAATAACGTATATGGATACTGATTCAAAAACGTATTTGGATACTGATTCAATAGCGTATTTGGATACTGATTCAATAACGTATTTGGATACTGATTCAATAACGTATTTGGATACTGATTCAATAATGTATGGATACTGATTCAAAAACGTATATAGATACTGACTCAATTGTATGGATACTGATTCAATAAATTATGGATACTGGTTCAAAAACGTATTTATGGATACTGACTCGATAACGTATATGGATACTGATTCAAAAACGTATTTGGATACTGATTCAATAGCGTATTTGGATAGTAATTCAATTTCGTATGGATAATGATTCAAAAACGTATTTGGATACTGATTCGAAAACGTATTTGGATACTGATTCAATAACGTATTTGGATACTGATTCAATAACGTATTTGGATACTGATTCTAAAACGTATATAGATACTGACTCAATAATGTATGGATAATGATTCAAAAACGTATATATGAATACTGATTCAATACCGTATATAGATACTGATTCAATAAATTATGGATACTGGTTCAAAAACGTATTTATGGATACTGATTCGATAACGTAACTTATATGGATACTGATTCAAAAACGTATTTGGATACTGATTCAATAGCGTATTTGGATAGTAATTCGATTTCGTATGGATAATGATTCAAAAACGTATTTGGATACTGATTCGAAAACGTATTTGGATACTGATTCAATAACGTATTTGGATACTGATTCAATAACGTATTTGGATACTGATTCTAAAACGTATATAGATACTGACTTAATAATGTATGGATAATGATTCAAAAACGTATATATGAATACTGATTCAATACCGTATATAGATACTGATTCAATAAATTATGGGTACTGGTTCAAAAACGTATTTATGGATACTGATTCAATAACGTATATGGATACTGATTCAAAAACGTATTTGGTTACTGATTCAATAATGTATTTGGATACTGATTCAATAATGTATGGATACTGATCTAAAAACGTATATGGATACTGATTCTATAATGTATGAATACTGACTCAATAATGTATGAATCAGGAATATAAGATCCAGACAGTTTTTAAAAAATTTTGGGAAACGTTCATCCCTAATATTGAAAGGTTAGATTATTCCCGACCTTCGGCCGAAATTCATTACTTTATCACGACTTTTCCCGACCTTTCAAAATCCCCGACTTTTTCCCGATTTTCCCGGAATTCCCGACTAGTAGACACCCTGTGGACGGATTTTTACAAACGACGTGTCAAAATAAAGTATTTTTTGTGTAGACGCCCCCTTTCACCAATTCCTGTAATAAAAACCCTCGGGCTTTGCCCCACAGGCCATCAAAGTTGGAGTTTCTCCCATAAGATTAACATGGGGGAATCTAAATATTTAATTGGAAACTTTGTCCCCACTAATTTGAGAGAACGGCTGGGCGTAGAAACTTTTGGGGGTGTCCAAAGAAAGGTCTTGGTCTGTAGATGAGTTATCAAAAGAAAAACTAAGCAAAATCCCTTAGGACTCTGCCCCAGAAGCCTTTAAAGATCCCTCCACAGAGTTGTTTACATTTTGGTCATGTGGATAATACTTTTTAATGAAACAGCTGTTCTTTTTTAAATTGTATTTCGAACAACATTTAATGTAGCTACCGGAACCTAATTTATTTTTGTTTCAGGTAACTTATGTTATTCTTATTAATGATTTATATTTTACCGATTAGGAATTACACATTAAAATGGTGCTGTTCTAGAATAACCTAACCGAACAAAACCTCTAGAACGTTAGCAAACTCCTTTTGAAGTAAGAAAATAAATAAGAACTTCATGTAATTTGTCTGACAATCCATCTATATCTTCATAATGTGACGAAATTCCCTTGTCAACGATAATTTTGTAATCAATCAACGATGTTTTTCTTCTCATCATTTATGTTACTCTCTTCACTTAACCTGAACTTAGCGACTAGCAGCACAATATTGGTTTTGGTATTCTAGTTGTAGTAACGTCTTAAGGCCTACTCAGCATTGCCGATGGCAGATTTAGAGTTAGTTAGTAAACTGGTCATCCATCCTACCTTGTTTATTCAAACGTTTTATATTTGAACGGCGATATCTTCAGTATTCATCTGCGGCAAAAAATAATGGTTTGGATTCAGTAGTTAAAAACTATAAAGATTAAAAATTTAAAAATTTTTGAGAAGCACCTATAGGCACCAATAAATACCCTTAATCCTTAATAACTTGCATCTTTTGGATGATAACGATTTCCCACATACGTAGTTCGCTTATAAGATCGCCCTCCTATATGGATGTCCAATGAAAATGTATGTTCCTTCATTTTGCTTTCAGATGCAAAACAGTTTCTGTGAATAGTGCACTTGAGTAGACTTCCCTGAGTGAGTCCGTGTGATCCAAGGAATATATTAACCTTCCGGTTGTAAAAATATAAAAAACATTCCAGGGGAAACTTAACATAAATCGACATCTCAGCTCTTTATACCCTAACCTTCAGCTTACCTCATCCAAACTAAAGACTTGATACGGCTCACGATTCTGCAAAAAGCGTGTGACTATCTTCCTCAAATGCTCTTTCTGTAATCAAACAATTAAAAAATTTAAGAAAAATATGGTTGGATTAGAAAGTATAGTTTTATTGATAACTTTATATCCTAAGTTAGTTCAGCCGGAATTAAACTAGGGCATATTTGCCTACTGTTGTTGTCAGGGTACCTTGACAGTAAATGCTTAATTAATAATAGGCTAAGGCTACACAGTAAAACCTCACTAACTCGACAGTCCTTGTAACTCGTCGGTCAACAGCTGACAGGGCAAACGTCTAGTTAGCTTTGTCTTGTGTGTTTGACATTTCAAGTTTTAATTTTTGAACAATTTATTTGACATTTCTTAAAAGATTGTTTAACTTGTACGCAATCTATATAAGTTACTGTATAACTTATATAGATTGAAGCAGACCACCCCTACAAATACTTTTACTCCTTAACAGGTATAAATTTTTACCTAGAAACGCAAAATAAAATTATTCCCCCCAAAATCACATACAAAGAGTTCATTTCAAATACTTGGAACATGATCCAAGCACAGGGTGTTCCAGAAATGAAGGTCACGGGTTTGAAGTTTCCTTATGCCAACCTATATCTCAGTGTATATATTTAGAAAGGTCTTGCTTAGAGAAATACTTTGGTGAAAACCAACTCAATTATCTCAATTAGTCAATTCATTTCAAAATGGCAAACATTTTTGGGAATTTTTCACTAACTGAAGTAGTAATACCGTACCCTGTATTTTCAAAACCGCTAAAAAGATTTTTCCGTTCTAATTGAAAATTTTTAATCCTGGTAAGCACAGCTTTGTACAATGATGTGTCACATTTTCAGAATCATTTTTTACCAAAACTTTATATTATGCTAGAGATCAAATCAAAAGCAGTGGTCATCGATGAAATTTCAATTGAAATTATAAAAACTGTCAGTCCTTGTGTGATAAAATCAATTACCCATCTGATAAATATATCTATCACTAGACAATGGACAATTTCTTAAGTCCTGGAAAATGAGTATTATCCGGCCATTACCCAAACTTACAGCTGCAAGAAAAGTAAGGCCTAAGGCCAATCTCAATATTACCAGCCACGTCAAAGATATTAGAGAAGATAGCTATTCGTCAATAAGTGAGCACAGCTACATAAACTCACAAAACATATTACCCAAACTTCAGTGTAGATTTAGACCTAACCACAGCACAAGTAGAGCCCTGACGAACTTATTTAGTGATATGATTCAAGCCAAAGACAAGGGTATAGATCTCTAGTGATGCTGGACTATTCAAAGGCCTTTGATTCAATGAACCATCAGCTATAATGTACCAAATTCTTTTAAGTTAGCTTTTATCAAAGAAACAAAACAAAATTAATGTAAACAAAGTCATATGATAAGGAAACAGTTGGTTGAACACAGCAACTGACAAGTGTACTCAGGTAGATACGGCGCCATGCGACTTTGTGCATTCTCTCAGCGCCCGAGCGGAGTGAGTGTTGTGCTTAACGGGTAATCTTTGGCTTTGTGTGACAAGTCAAAGACTCTTGGTGTTGTCATTGACAGCAGACTCACCATCTCTGACATTGTTACACATGCTTCGCAGCGCGCGTTAGGAAGGCTGAGAGGGCTGTACAGGTTCAGAAGTCTGCTGCCAGAATCTGCGAAGCTGTGCCTCATGCAGTCACTAGTCCTGTTGGTGTTTAGATATTGTCTCCCTGCTTATTGAAACAGCATATCTGTAAAATATTTGAACCGAATATAAAAACTGCAAAATTCTGCTATTCGCTTCATTTTTTGCCTCAACAAATTTGAACATATCTCTCAATTCAGAACTGTAGCAGGTATGACATTAGTAGATACTGCTTGCAGGATCATGACGTGCTGCATGGTGCACAAGGCTCTTGTCCTACAGGAGCCACAGCACCTTCTTGAGAGGCTCTCATTCTGAGAGGAGGTCTCTCAGCGCAGTACCCGCCATGGAAGTCTCCAGCTTCACTTTCCAAGATTGAGGCTTGAGTTTGGAAGGAGAAGCTTCTTATACTTCGGCCCAAAGCTGTACAACCACCTCCCCTCTGGCCTCAAAAAATATGCTTTGTCATCCTTTGGAGTAACCTAAAGATAAAAGAATTGTTCACTTTTGGTTGATTATTGTTGAGCGGAGCGAGCGAAGCGAGCGAAGCTCTTATACGTCGACTTTTATGCATTTCGTAATACGCAAACTCCTCCTAGACGGCTGAATCAATCGTTTTCAAATTTTGCATGGTGATAAGGACCATATCGGTGAGTGCCAACATCTATATGGCGTTAAAAAAGTCTCTCAGGAATCCGTAGAAAAATGAAACTGAAAATCACATTTTTTTAACATTAGTCTTATGGGTTGCTAGGTAACCATGATGGCTGAATTAAATAACAAGTAAAAAGTAAACAAAAGATTTGAAGTTTTAGCATGTGCTCATAATAAGCCAACTACCCACAGTATACTAGGAAATTACAAATACAGTACAAAAGGAAAACATCACTTGTTAATATTGAGCAAAGATTATACTTAAGATTACTCGATACATTGTAGTCTAGGGTAGCAGTGCGAAGTCTAGGATCTGTTTATGACGAATACATTAAGGTATCTGCAATCATAAAATGCTATGGGAATAGAGGGAAACAGGTCCGTGACGTAGGAATTGATGAAGGAAGTAGTAAATGCGAGCAGTCCGGAGTGTGGGGACTGTTTATGACGATAAGATTAGGGTATCTGCAATCCTAAAATGCTATGGGAAGGGAGGAAAACGGGTCCGCGACGTAGGAAGTGGTGAAGGAAGTAGTCAAGGCGAGTAGTCCGGAGTGCGGGAACTGTTTATGACGATTAGAATAAGGTATCTGCAATCTTTAAGTGCAATAGGAAGGGAGGGAAACAGGTCCGCGACGTAGGAAGTGGTGAAGGAAGTAGTCAAGGCGAGCTGTCCGGAGTGTTGGAACTATTATGACGATTAGATAAGGGTATGGGCAATCAAAAATGCTATGGGAAAGGGAGGGAAACAGGCCCGTGACGTAGGAAGTGGTGAAGGAAGTAGTCAAAGCGAGCTGTCCGGAGTGTTGGAACTGTTTATGACGATAAGATAAGGGTATGGGCAATCCTAAAATGCTATGGGAAGGGAGGGAAAGAGGTCCGCGACGTAGGAAGTGGTGAAGGAAGTAGTCAAGGCGAGCTGTCAGGAGTGAGGGAACTGTTTATGGCGATTAGATAAGGGTATGGGCAATCCTAAAATGCTATGGGAAGGGAGGGAAACAGGTCCGTGACGTAAGAAGTGGTGAAGGAAGTAGTCAAGGCGAGCTGTCTGGAGCGTGGGAACTGTTTATGATGATTATATTAAGGTATTTGCAATCCTAAAATGCTATGGAAAGGGAGGAAAATAGGTCCGCGACGTAGGAAGTGGTGAAGGAAGTAGTCTAGGCGAGTTGTCCGGAGTGTTGGAAATGTTTATGACAATTAGATTAAGGTATCAGCAAACCTAAAATGCTACGGGAAGAGAGGAAAACAGGTCCGCGACGTAGGAAGTGATGAAGGAAGTAGTCTAGGCGAGTTGTCCGGAGTGTTGGAAATGTTTATGACAATTAGATTAAGGTATCAGCAAACCTAAAATGCTACGGGAAGGGAGGAAAACAGGTCCGCGACGTAGGAAGTGATGAAGGAAGTAGTCAAGGTGAGCTGTCCGGAGTGTGGGGACTGTTTATGACGATTAGATTAAGGTATTTGCAATTCTAAAATGCTATGGAAAGGGAGGAAAATAGGTCCGCGACGTAGGAAGTGATGAAGGAAGTAGTCTAGGCGAGTTGTCCGGAGTGTTTGAAATGTTTATGACAATTAGATTATGGTATCAGCAAACCTAAAATGCTACGGGAAGGGAAAAAAACAGGTCCGCAACGTAGGAAGTGATGAAGGAAGTAGTCAAGGTGAGCTGTCCGGAGTGTGGGAACTGTTTATGACGATTAGATTAAGGTATTTGCAATCCTAAAATGCTATGGGAAGGGAGCGAAACAGGTCCGCGACGTAGGAAGTGGTGAAGGAAGTAGTCAAGGCGAGTAGTCCGGAGTGTGGGAACTGTTTATGACGATTAGATTAAGGTATCTGCAATCTTTAAATGCAATGGAATGGAGGGAAACAGATCCATGACGTAGGAAATTGTGTAGGATGTAGATGTGTGGATTTATGTATCTCCAATACTACGGTGCTTTCAGAGTGAACTAATGATTTTCCCCGAGCAAAGCTCGGTCCCCAGGTACTATAATCAAATGACGACACTAGCTTGAGGTTCGTGACGTATGAAGAGGTTAAGGAAGTAGTAAAGGTGAACAGTCTGGAGTATGGAAACTGTTTATGACGATTAGATTAAGGTCTCTACATTCCTAAAATGCTACGGAAAGGGAGGGAAACAGGTCCGCGATGTGGGAAGTGGCGAAGGAAGTAGTAAAGGCGAGCTGTTCGGAGTGTGGGATCTGTTTATGACGATTAGATTCAGGTACCTGCAATCTTAAAATGCTATGGGAAGAGAGGGAAACAGATCCGCGACGTAGGAACAGGTGAAAGAAGTAGTAAGGTGAGCAGTGTGGAGTGTGGGAACTGGAAACCGTTTGTAGCAGTTTTAATGTATCTGCAATGCTGAAATGCTATGAGAAGGGATGGAAGCATGCCCAAGACATAGGAAATTGTGAAAGAAGTAGTAAATTCCAGCAGTACGGACAGTGGGGATGTTTGTTGCAATTAGATTAACGTATCTAAAATACTAAAATGCTATGGAAAGCGATGAATACAGGTCCACAACGTAAGTGGTGAAGGAAGTAGTAAAGACTGGCGGCAGTGCAGAGTGGGGGAACCGTTTGAGCAGATGGATAAATGAATTTGTAATACTTAAATGCTATGAGAAAGGAAGGAAACAGGCCAATGACGTAGTAAATGGTGAAGGAAGTAGTAAGGCTAACATCGCAGAGTGTGGGAACTGTCTTTGCCAATTACATTAATGTTTCTGCAATCCTAAAATGCTATGGGAAGAGAGGGAAACAGGTCCACGACGTAGGGTGTGGTGAAGGAAGTAGTAAAGGTCAGCAGTGTTGAGTTTGGGAATGGATTAATGTATCTGCAATGCTAAAATGCTACGGGAAGAGACTGTAGACTGTAATATGTTAAAATTATTACGAAGCGAAGCACAAATCGATACATATTTTCGATACATGCAATCGTTTACAATCGAAATTTACAACTGAGTTGACAACAGCTGATTTTTACTCCATAGAGGCTAAAAACGATTTTTACTCCCTAAATATTAAAAATGCTACTTTAGACCCGCAGCGCATGCATGAAAAAATACTGTTTTTACTGCAGTAAGACAAAAACAATATAATATGAACCCTTGATGACTCCGCTCAATTTTGTGGATGCCTCTGCGATCGCCACCTAGTTATTTAACACGTTCACTGTGGGCGTATCCGATCAGATACGGGCCGAGCGCTGTTCAGGTGCTGCCGTAACCGATGGGATACGCTCGGCAATGCCTTTCGTATATCATAGTTTTTGCTCTAGCGTCGGTCGAAGGCGGACCTATACCACGTTAGCGTGTAGTGGGTGACTTGCTTTTTCTTGTGTTGTAGGTTGGTAGTAAAATTTCCCCATAAAATCCCTGTCTGGCAAACTTAAAAATCAACTTGTTGTCCCGTCTTTCTCCCTCAAATTGGCAATACTATGGGACCGGCTACGTTCCAAGCAGTGCTGCTATCTGTGAGTATTTAGCGAACCACGTCGACTCTTTTTATAAAGCAGGACATCACCGCACGTTATTTGCTATTCGTCATACCGAAATATGAGAGCCAATAACCCGGCAATCGGGATTGTTCGACGCTGAAGGCTGCGCCGCACTGGGGCTACGCCTGCTGTTTGATGGCCCACAGCGAACGTGTTAAATGTTCTTGTTTCTGTTTTGTTATGGTTCTATTTATATATTTGTTGGTTTAGTTATTGTCATTGATGAAAGTTATTCTGAAAAGGAGTTGAGTTGTAGCCTACTGAGAAATGCTTGATAAAAAAGGCATTTTTGTTCATTTTAGCGAATTTCGCATATAGGGAATAAGCTATTAGCGTAGTACTCATGGTAAGCCCTGGACGCGGGACCAATTTTTTTTTCTTTTTGAGGTCCCTAGAAGCCAAAAACACCATCCGTTCAAATGTATATATATATATATATATATATAGGCCTATATATTATATATATATGTGTCCGTTAGCACGATAACTCGAGCAATAGCCTATTTTAAAAATTTTGATGAATTTTGATCCGATTTTGATGAAATTTGGTATAAACGTGTAAACCTACATTTGATTTATTCCAGCAAGTTCGCAAACCAGCATGATCGGACTATGAGAACGGGGGTTGGGGGGGGGGGGTTTATGGGGTAAAAATAGGTTTTTCCAATTTTTCACCTCAAAAACATAAAATTTATCAATTTCTTTCCAAAGAAGCAGGTTGATGGATTGGATACTGACTGCTTCAGTAAAAAATTGCGGGAATCGATAGTTAGGTGTAACAGTAGGTACCTCGGTACCTCACTACTGGAGGTACCCACTGTTTCTTTGGGTGACGTAAGTTAGCTCATGAATAAGACTCAGCACTTGCTCAAAAACCCCTTTAATATTAGGTACTCAAAACAATACAAAGAACACAAAGAAAAGTAACAATCAAAAAGGTAGAGTAAGTTAAATAGGCCTACTCGGAACTGTATAAATCATCAAACTAGAAACCAAAACCCCAATTTAGAAAAGACTCTTTAAACCCCAATTTTTAAAACCTTTTAACAAGGTGACTGCTTGTGCCAAAAAAGTCGGCGTCACTAGCACTTCCAGGTGCGGCTGACCACCTAAAATACATTGAGTCAGTATGAACTCAGCCATTGCCGGGGAACATTATAGCCGAATCGTTGCCAGCCTGTAACTTAGAATGTGAGAGCTTTATTTTGGTGTAGGTTGGTACTAAAGTTCCTGTTAAATCCCGTATGGCAATGCTTTTGTCCCAGTTTCGGAGATTTTCTCTCTTCCACCCACATTAAAGACACTGGCTACGGATCCAGGCAGTGCTGCTACCTTTGGGTGTTTTAGTGAACTATGTCTACTCTCGGGGTAACACAGCACAATCACCGCTGGTTTTTTGAGATTTGTCAATTTTAAAAAGCCTATTTGAATGCCAATTGCGTCAGCTGATTCGGTTGTGCGCCGGAGCTTCGCCGGCCGTTGGCAAGCGTCCGTTTTAGGTTGTCAGCACTCAACGTGTTAACATTGTTACAGTAGGCCTACCTGTCCTCCGGTGCACTACACACAAAACTGACCCCCAGATAAAAAAAAGTGCACTTGCCTACTTAAAGCAACAGCCTTCAGTAGGTCAGCACACCATGTTATTGTTTAACAACACTACCAGCCTACTCATTGCCGAACTTCCTGTTCACAATACTTGACCCCTTTCATTACATAGGCCTTCCCTACCCTACTGTGGTGTCAGCTCGATATAGGTGGAACTGGGAGGAATGTCCAATCAAAGATATTTAAACTTATAGGCCAGAACGTTAGAACCCTGTCTAAGTAAATCGTTTCACTCACACCAACCTTAAATGATACAGTAGGCCTAAGTACCTAAGGTATGTAAGGTAGAATAGTACTCACTCTTCATTAAGTATTCTGACCATTCAAAGTTGTTGACACCTTCAGTCCTTCACTTCACTCACTGGTAAGTAGGCCTATGTCAAAATGGGAAAGTTTTAAGTTGAGTAGGCTAAGTTAAGACGGAATTGTAGCTGTGATGGATGCTGTGAGTGATAGGCCTAGGCCTAGTAAAATGCGAACATGTAGAAACAATCAAAAATTGTATACAATTCTCTCATCGATCGTGTTTTACTATTAAACTCATTAGGTAGCCTACAACCACATACAACTCATTACCAGTACGGTACTTTAAAAGTTTTGAAAACTAAACATTGTCCTCAAGAATGGGCTGCCAAGATGGTTAGATGGTTTACATTAAAACAACAGCGAAAATAAATGTAAACAAAAAAAGTCATCATAATCAAAATAATATAGAGCCTAGGCTACTTAAGTTATTATTACCATGTGTAGGCCTATGCGCGAGCCAAGCCTGTAGGGCAGTACAATTTACAAAGAAAATACAATTCAGTACAAAAAGGAAAATTACCATTAAGTTTAGATTACACAATAAGTATAACTAGATTTTGGGGGGAAAAGTTCAGATAAAAAAATGTAAGTTAAAGGGAAAAAGTAGAAAATTGTCGTTTTGTTTACGTTTGAGGTTATGGTAAGTGTTTTCACAACTTTCTTAAACTAAACTTACTATTTATATACTTTTTTAGTTGTGATGCAGCAATAATTTATTTTCACGCTTTGACTTGATCAAATCATTGCAAGTGCAAGCTATACAAATATATCGAAAGAAACTAATTATAGAAAAAATCCAAAAAATCACAACAGACAAACACAAAACACAAAACAGACTTCGACTTCGAAATTTTTTTACTAATGCAGTGTTGCCACTTGCCAGTTGCCAGATTGACCGGCGTAAGTTATCGTACAAACAAGCAGTTCCAAACTATCGTATTTGGGGCGAAATTATCGTAGGCCTACACACATTTGTTGTATTATCATTAAAACAAGCAAGTCGATGATAAAATTACCTAAATTTAACTCTATTTGTCTCTGCCGCCCACCCATTGCCCACCGCTTTTTGCTCTACCAGTCTGCCATGCCACTGAGCTATAAAATATATTATATAAATTCTACCGTTGTACCGGAGCTCAGAAAACATTCGGTACTAATTACCACCGGAGGCAGCACTATCACACACACACGGAATCTGCACCTTTGCTAGAGCCCTCCGAGTGTCACGCGTCATAAAAATGACGCACAACACACTTTGTGTAGGGTCACGCGTCACTTTTATGACGCACAAACATCGTTTACGGCGAAGGCTCTATGACTGACTGAATCGGATTGAACTGGATCGAGTTAGGTATCGTTCTTTCCGTAATATTCTAAGCTTTCTCCAGAGGTCTGTCTCTAAGCGCTATTCATTTTAGTTCCGAAAATATTGTAGCAGACAGCTGACGTGCGTGTATTTGTAAACAGCTAGGTTCCCCCGGACCGATGACTGATGTGTTTTATTACGTTTATCATTGTTTTAGTGTTAAAAATCAAAAGTAGTGATATACGTGGTGCATTATAAGAAGATTTAAGTGGTTTTGAAGTGCTGGTTGATGATCCTGAAGAAGTAGGTAGTGATATTGATGTAAATTATCAGCCAGATTCCTAGCTATGGTTAGGCTATGCATTCTTAGCTAAACGCTATGTACTGAAATCCGTTTTTCGCTCATAACTTATTTATTTGATAACTTACCTCGCTATATGATTATATATTTGTAATCCTCATTAAATTTAGAACAAAGTGGCTATTTTCAAATATTTATAGGCCTATAATTTATACAATTTCATTGAGCGCGAACTTATTTTTTTTTTGAAAATTTTCGAAATTATATTTTTTTTTTACCTAAAAATTTTTTTTTGAAAAAATGTTCCTTATGTTTTATATATAATATTGAAGCCCATGATTTTCCAAACAAAATGGTATATAGAACATTAGAATTGACATTGTTTTAAGCTTCTCAGATCCGTTTTAATAAAACCTTGCAAAGGGGCCAAAAATAGGTGGACATTAAGGCCTAAACTATGGACACTCGGAGGGCTAGAGAAAAAGTTGAAACGCTGTAAAATTTTGTTATTTTGGTTCTCAACTAGAAAAATCTACCAGCTCATTCGCTCGGTGCTTTATTTCATTCACCTACTGCCGTACGCTGAATTTTTATTCCAGGATTAGTTTTGCAAACAGTGTTAGTTGTTATTTGGATATTTATGGAGGCTTCTGATTGGCTGAGGGAACACCATTACCGCAACGATACGGCTGATGTCATTGGCCTTGGTGGTATAGTGTAAAGAAAGAGTGCTGTTAAACTGAAGGAGCCGGGTTCGAATCATACCCGTAGCACACTATTTTTTTGTCTTGGATTTTTTCATTATCAGCAAGTTAAGTTGGTTTGGTTAGGTTATGACAGACTAATGTTTTTAATTAAAACCTTATAAAATTGAATTTGAGCTATTTATAGTTCTATTTTATGAATAGAACTATTTTTTCGATTAAACAATAATTAGATTCTTCATTATCAGCAAGTCTGGTTAGTTTGGTTAGGTTATGACTGTTTAATTTTATAATTAAAAAATTTAATTAGAGTCATTTATAATTTTATTTTGTAAACAGAACATTTTTTCGATTAATAAACCTTCATTGGATTTTATCATTATATCGGCACGTTTTTTTGGTTTGGTTAGGTTATGACAGTTTAATTTCATAATAAAAAATTATACAATTTAAATTGAGGCATTTATAATTTTGTTTTATGAACAAAACTAATTTTTCAATTAGTAAACCTTCATTATAGTCAATCAGAAGCCTCCAAATGACACTGTCGGCAAAACTAATCCTGAATGACAAATTGTACCTGCCGTACTGAGACGACTGAGACTACGTCTCATTTTCCTCTTCCAGACACTGATAAGAACCTTTTCTGCGAATATTGTGTGAGAGCCCCTCACGTCGATTTAAGAAAATCTTAAAATTTATTTTATAATTTTGTAGTTAGGAAATTAACTTGTTTATTGTAAACTTAAAATTTAATTAAAAAAAAATTAAAATATTTAATTATAAAATTAAAACTGTCATAACGTAACTTAACCAACCAAACTTGAGGATAATATAACTAGGGTTGCTTTCAGAGAGGTGAAAGCCAGTTGAGCGGAACAAACGTGATTTGATATTTGTATAAGTACCTAACTAAATGTAAAAAGGTCAATAGATTTATTTACTAATGCTGTTTTTAAAGATTAAAATTATAATAATTCAAATTTACCTCTTCGAGAAGTGCATTAAGGTAGTTTTGACCAGGAAAATATTACAGTAGTTGGAATCTGATATTAACATCCAAAAAGGGCATTAAAGTATAAAAAAGAGAAAGGAAATTTTATCAACATTTGAAATGACTGAATTGTTACCAAATAACTGTTTCACAAAATGCAGATTCCATTTTCAGCCGAGCCATTAAAATGAGGATTTGCCGAACAATTATTAATATTACAGAATAGTATATAATGATATACAACTTTTCACATTCCATAAATTATATGTTAGTTTTGCTATGGTCAAAGGTCCAAAACCAAATGTTCTCTTTTCTTTTGGTCAGTATGTAATAATTTGCTAGAATCATTGACTTTATATAAAGTCAAAGCTAGAATACTGTAGATGGTTTGTTAAGTTAAGACCATATGCAAGCATTTTTGAAATCGTTTCCCCGTTTAACCTTAACCAACTATTCCATTCCAAAATATAAATACCCCCCGCCGCAGCAAACGTGCAGACTAAGCGAATTTCCATTTGCCTGATTGGATTTACACTAAAATGTCTCCTTAAGAATATCACATTTATTCCCTATTTAAATCAAATCAGTTTAACACATACTTAGGTTTGCTGCAACAGGGAGGGTTAAATTGTTTTTTTATGTAAAATGTTAATAGTAAGAAATAAAAACATTTTCCAAATTTGGGCAAAATATGTTAATAAATAAGCAAACTACAACAGTTTACTCATCCTCCATAAGAATAACATAGGAATTTTAAATTTACAATTTTTTTGAATTTTCTCCGTAACCATTAGGCGCATTATAACGCTTCAATATACTAAATTATTTGTTTTTTAAGCTCTACAAAATGGTTAGGAAAGAAATTGCAAAAATTTAAGTTTTTTGGGTCAAAAATGGGAAAACCCATTTTTACCCCATAAAAGCCCCCATAAACCCCCGTTCCCATGGTCCGATCATGCTGGTTCGCGAACTCGTTCGAATAAACGTAGGTTTACACGTTTGTACCAAATTTCATTAAAATCGGATCATTTTCGCTTGAGTTATCGCGCTAACGGACACATATATAAATATATATATATATATATAAATATATATATATATATATATATATATGAATTTGAACGGATGCTATTTTTGGCCTCTAGGGACCTCAAAACGAAAAAAAAAATCGGTCCCGGGTCCAGGTCTTACCATGAGTACTACGGTAATAGCTTATTCCCTATATGAGAAATTCGCTAAAATTATATGGTGCAACACAAATAAACAACCCGATCACCTACCTATAACCTACACTTTACCTTCCCAATCTAACCTTACTTCAAAACACTTAATGTAGTCACGAATACTCATAAACCCCGACCTACCTCCCCACCTGCCTAAATTAGATCAGTGTTCAATCTGCGTTTTATCAATAAGTGTAATAACTTACTGTACCGTCGATGTAATTCAACATAATATAACCTATGAGGTATTATCGGATTAAATACCGATTTCGATGCGGTTCGATATATCGCTTATTAAATCCTGATTTCTAACATTGGCTGTTTCTAATCAGCTGGCAACACAAATAGGTTCCCAAGAAAGTAGTCACCGGTCCGTATCCCTCCGCTCCTTGTTTATGCTCCGCGCATTGAGAAAGTAGTTCCGTATAATTTCTCGATTTTAAGTGAATTCCGCGCCTTAAAAAAATGTTTTAACGGCATTTTCTTGTTTATTAAAATCATAGGAATGGTTTAAAAACGTTTAAAAGAAAAGTATAGAAAGTTCAGAAATACCTTATGATTCTCTTGTTTACATTTTTCTTGTAAACAAAAAAACTGTCATAGCTACTTTAGTCCCATAAGCCTAATGTTAAAAATTTGAAATTTTAAGTTCGTTTTAAATTGCATTAGCATTATCTAATTGAAATTTGTTTGTTTACAAACCATCTCATTATTAGTCTAAGTAATCTTGTTAAGTTTGGCTGAAATGTGTTCAGCAGTTATTGAGTGATGGTGTTATATTGTTTACATTGAAGTTGATCCCAAAGAGCTTCGCTCGCTTCGCTCGCTCCGCTCAAAAAAGATATGACATAAAAATCGAATGAATGTTTATTTATAATTTTTAATTATAAAATTTATTTTAAAATTGTTTATTGTAAAATTAAATAACATATTAATGGCGGGTTAGGTAATAGCTATTTACCTTACAAGTGTAGTAAGAGCGTTTTTACATCACGCAGGTGAATGTTGTGCAACGAGCGGAAGCGAGTTGCATAATTTACCGAAGTGATGTAAACACGCTCTTGCGTAACGTGTAACGTACCTACAAGATTTTACCTGACCCGACAATATACAGGAGGTTACGAACAATATTTTTCATTATCCATTTCACTCATCTTCCAACAGTAACGTTCATTTACAAACAAAAGCTAGGTTAAGAAAATTCTTCAAAACATAACAGCGCACAGCTGATTTCTAGCGTTGAACGTCGTTGTATCCATAGAGGTATATTTTTTAAGTTAAGCACTCAATG